CCTCCAAATTCTATTTTTACATCACAGCTTTCCAAGCCCTAGCTTGACCCGTTTTTGATGAATTTTCTACAATTTACATGTAATTTCTACCATAAATTCGAATATTTAGGCCAAGGAACTTACCTCCAAGTGATTCTCAGTCAAAACCCTCGAATTTCCTTGTTCAAAGCTCTTAAGAACGTCAACAATGCAGCAAAAATATGAAAGGGTCGCTGATGAAATATTATTTTAAAACCCTTCTGTTGCCCAGCAATTTTCGCTTTTGCGGTCCCGCTTTCGCTTATGCGGGACTGCTTCTGCGGCCACATTTCCACTTAAGCAGTTTTCACTTAGAAGCCCGGACTTCGCTTATGCGACGCGAAGTCCGCTTCTGCGGTTCCTTCAAAGACCGCTTCTGCGGCACCTTGTCCGCTTATGCGGACCCGCTGGTGCGAGCTACCTTCCGCATCTGCGGAATTTTCCCTAGCCGGCCACGACCGCTTCTGCGACCACGTACCCGCTTCTGCGGTCCATTTCCGCAGAAGCGGAAACACAAGATGACAGCAAAATCTGACCTGCAATTACACCTCAAAACTCTCGTTTAACCACCCGAATTCACCCTGAGGCCCTCGGGACCTCAACCAAATGCACATATATGTTCTATTACTTCATTCAAACTTGCTTGTAACATAAAAACACTATCATAAACACCAAAATCATCAAATTACCACGGATTCAAGCTAAGTTAAACTAAAACTTCCGAAACTTGCATTTGATCTAAAACCCGACTTAAACACCTCCGAATGATCTGAAACTTTGCACGCATATCCAAAATCACCTAACGGAGCTACTGCAACTCTCGGAATTCTATTCCGACCCTCGGATCAAAATCTCACCTACCATCCGGAATTCACCAAAATCCAACCTTAGCCAATTCAAGCCTAATTCTACACCGGACCTCCAAATTCAATTCCGATTGCGCTCCTAAGTCTCAAATCATCCCCCGAAACTAGTCGAATCATCGGAAATCCATTCCAAGACTTCTAACTCATAAGTCAATATTCGGTTGACTTTTCCAAACTAACCTTCTCATAAAGAGACTTATTGTCTCATTTCCAACCGAACTCTATCCGAATTACTTCAAATTTTCCAAACACATATAATGAAACATATAGAAGCATAAAACGGGAAAAACGGGGCGGTAACTCCCATAACGACGGGTCGGGTCGTTACACTCATCTTATGTTAAAATTAAAACAAAGAAGCAAAAACATTTCACATTTCAATTTAGGACAAAACTCAACATAGAATTAACAATAAGCAATTTTAACACTAATTATGGGAATATCGGCTAACAGAAGTAGGAAGAGAATGGACCTCGAGAGCAACAACTCTTTGAATCTGAAAATTTTTAGGACCGGAAACTTCGATCTGCGACAAGGACTCGAATCGGAATCAACCTCGATGGAACTTCCAAGATGGAGACGAAAATCAAAAAAAAACTGAAGAAGAAAACAGAATAATAATTTTTTTTGTTTTGGCTATGTTTTGTTCCCTTCTCTTTCTGTCCGTGCTCCTCTGTTCCTCTTATTGTTCGTGTGTGTGTGTGTGTGCGGTCGTGGTGGTGAGGCTCTAGAGTGGAGGGATTGGTGCTTGACTGCTCGGCGGGCTGGTTGCTGTGATTGTGTCGCGGCTGGGTTTTTTGGGTGTTCAGAAGCAGGGGTCGTTGGTTGGCTTCATGTGGGTCAAGAAGAAGAAGGTTAGGGGTGTTGTTTTTGAAGATGAGGGGAACGGCTGGAGATGGGGTGTTCTGGTTGTTGTGGTGGTCATGAGTGAGAGTTGAAGAACCAGCTGCTTATTGTTGGTCGCCGGTATCCTTTTAGGTATAGAAGAAGAGGGGCGCTGATGGGGTTGTGAGTTGAAGAGATGAAGAACGGCTGGGAGTCCTCTAGGGTTAGGGATCCTAGGTTAGAAGAAGGTCAGCTCTTTTTCTAAGGAAATTAGGTTTTTTAGTGGGTTTAAAGGGTATTGGACTTTAATTTAAGAAATAGGACTGGGTCCATGTCTTGTTGGGTCTTAATTTTGGGCTAAGAAGACTAAAAAAATATAAAACTTACTCTTAATTAATTAAAATACACTACTAAATAAAACTAGATATTAAAAGTGAAACTAATTTTGTATTTTCAAATGTTATAATAAAATAAAAAGTAGGAAAAAATAGGCTAAAGTCACGGTATAATTAAAATACTATAAATATACTAATTGACTTTAAACTAAATATGAAAATATTTTTGTAATTTTTATTTTTGTGATAAAAATAAAGTAAAAGAGTCAAAACTAGTTAAAATAGCGATATTAGACCTAAACTAAATATTTAAATGCTAAAATCTGTAAAATCTTGGGGAGGGTCAAAAATTAAAAGATAAGAATGGAATTAGATTAAAATCATTGCAAAATTAAAATAATATTCCTGCCAAACTACTAATATTCCTGAAAACAAAGTGGAACTATTTTTGTATTTTTGAATTTTATGAAAGGTAGGTAAACTAAAAGTAACAAGAGAAAATATCAATTACCTAAATAAAAGGAAAAATATTTTTGTAATTTTTATTTTTGTGACAAAATAAAGTAAAAGAGTCAAAACTAATTGAAATAACGATATTAGGCCTAAACTAAATATTTAAATGCTAAAATATGTAAAATCTTGGGGAGGGTCAAAAATTACATGTCTACAATAAGGAATAGGTCAGCTTTGGATGCAACAGATCTTCTTTCAGCGCGGGAAAGCAACACTTTGTTAACCATCTCAAAGAGCAACTTATATACTGGAAGGAGTGCATTCTTATGCACCTGTTCCCCATGCTGTACTGCCTTGTCCTTGACAATGGCATTTCTGAAGTTTGGTATGCAGACACCCTTAACAGATGATAGTCCTTCGGTAGGAACACCCAGAATTGACCCCAATAAGGCAGAGTTCATCACTATGTCCACCCCATTTACCAACACACAGATTTGATCACCATCTACTGTGAAGAGGCTGGTGTAGAAACTCCGTACCTCCTCCCCATACGCTATAGGAGCCTCACTTGTAAACAGATTGGTCCATTATTGAGAATTACAAATGTCCACTAATTCTCTCATTCCAGCAAACTCTAGAATGTCAAAGGCAAATGTGCAGCCCCACAGTACTTTCTGATTCCCCAACTTCCTTTTCTCAGACCTTAGAGACCCACTAACTTTTCCTTTCTTGATGAAACTAGGTTCCTCATCATCATCATCCCTTTTTATTTTCACTTACTTGCCAACAGACTTTTCATTCTCCACTGACGTGTTCTAAATATGTTCACCAGATTTTTCTACTTCTTCTTCATCAGACTTGTCACTACGCTCCTTCACTGTCTTGTCACCAGAATTTTTTACCAACTTTTCACTGGAACCATCAACAACACTCTTGGAATAACTCTCCGCACCCTTAGAGGTGTGCCTTTCGGATTGAGAGAGAGAGTGCTTCTTCCTTGAAGACTTGCGGGTCAGGGAACTAGGTTCCTCTTTGGTTTCCTCATCCATAAACTACAGGGACATCCTTTTGTTGTACTACTTTTCCATCTTTGACCAACCTTCTCCTTCTGACTCTTTTTACTCTTCTTGAGAGAAGACTCTAGAGCCTCCTTTTACTGCAACTATGTAGTAGGTCACTTAAGAGGTGGCTCTGAAGTTACCACTGGCTTAGTCCTAGACTTGATAAAACTAGCATAAACCAAATCATCTGTGTCTTCTTCACTGTCAGGATTCGTCTCAGGCACCACCATATTCAAAGGCTTAGCATAGAAGTGAGGAGATGGAGCATGATCAATATTGGTCTGGGGAGATGACTCTTGACCTGGATCCTCCACTGATGGATTAGGTTCATCATTTGGGACCCCAGTAGCATCATCTTGTGCAGGTTCAAATGGCACAATTGCTCCCTTTTCTTTTGATGGATGAGGCTCTTCCCTCTAAGGCTCAGACCCTCCTGCATATTCCTCTACAATGACCCCTTCTAACGCAATAGAAAATGTATTCTCTATTCCCTCCTTTTCTTGTGGTTCCATGGAGATTTTAACAGACGAAGGAGTGATACCTACAGAGTCACAACTTGTCATGGTGGTCTTAGTCTCTTCATGACTAATCACCAGATCTTCACTCAAGTGCCCAACCATAGATAGAGTTGAAGGTTTCTGAATGAGGTTCCCTTGTTTACCATATTCACCCTATTGACTCTGTTTGACCGGTGAGATTGGAGGAGGACAAACATTCTCAAGCTTGCTCAAATAAGGAGTAGACTCGGAGTGAGTAGGAAAGGGAGTGGAGTGTGGAGGAGACTCTGCTATAGGGTTTGGACTAGTGATTGTGATGGGAGAGAAGTTCACCACTGAGATACTGACTGGTGAGGACTCAATCATAGTGTTGTCAAGCACACTGAAGGTTGCTTGATTTTCAGACATGATGAGATTATTCTCGAAGGACTGTGGATTTGAGAAGAGAGAAGACAAAAAAGAAATTTTGAATTTGGAAGAGAAAGGGTTGTGATGTTGATTTAATTATGATGAGGGACCGATTCTGAAACGGCGGCAACCTTTTTCTTGCGAGATGTATCACTCTGAAAAGGAGTGACATTTGGGATGTGACGTATCGGCTGAAGAGATACGACTTTAAAGAGACTGTCACGCTGATGATGATGTGGCATTGTTAATGTCCATTTTAAATTGTGTATGAAAGAACAAAGAAGCTACTAACCTGTATCAGAAAAACTAGGTTCCCTGATAGGTCTGGCAAGTGAGTTTTAACCCCTTATTCATCATGCACTGCAGCATCTGCTTCTGTAGTCATCATGCGTGTCTACCTGTAATGGCATAGAGGTGAGTTAGACTTAGCCGGAAAATACTTTCGCTAGCTTTTACCTGACTATGACTTTTGTAACCAATCAGAGGAACCAGGTTCTCAATTGGGTTTTATCATCCCCCAGTGCAAGGCGATTTTTTTCAGAATGCTTTCTTCCCAGGGCTTTTGGTAAAAATGTCTGCAACTTGATCTTCAGTAGTCACTTTATTTGTCCCTCTTGAGTTGGACTCAAGTTCTTCCAATTTGCTTCTTGGTCCACAACACTTAAGCACAGCAGGATGCTGATGATACATATTATGCTTTAACTATTGAGAGTGCCATTGAATTTGCTTTTTTTAGCCTCGTGAGACGAAATAGGAACTCATAAAATGTCCCATTTTAGGCGAGCTTTTCCTATCCATTAGTTGGAGGACAATAGAGAACCAGGTCCTGAGTTCCTCTAAGATATCTCAAAATTCTTACACCAGCCTTTCGATGAGAATCGTTTGGATTTGAATGAGACCTTGCACAGAACCCAACTCTGAGCATGATGTCTGGTCTACTTGCAGTGAAATACAAGAGTGATTCAGTGACATCTCTATGCATGGTCTGATTTAGAGAAGAACCAGGTTCATCCGTGTCTGGGCGAGTATCTGTGGCAATGGGAGTGTTGATGAGATGTGATGCTTCTATGCCAGAACCCTCTTTCCAACAACTCATTTTTTTAGCTTCTGTTGTTGTAGATGCGGGACCCGATTCCTTGCTGGAATTAATGAAAGTTCTCTACCTTGATCAGTATTTCTGTTCTCCTTTGAGATGAGTACATCAAGAAGATTTCTCCATCTCTTCTTCCATCAAGTTTTTAAAGCTGACCCTTCCCATTGTTAAGAGCATAACAATTGTACCTAGATATCCTTAATTGAGTCAGCAACTTTGGTCAAGATGTTTGCAATCCCTCTATTAAATAATATTGATCGTGCCCAATCTTCAAGAGTCCCTTTCTTCTTTTCAACAACTCCATTTGCTATGGTGTTTTTGGACCTAAGCGGTTGAGTAATTCTTCTTTGAATACAGCATTCATCCACTATGGCATTATCCAAACCTGTGCCATGATCAGATCTGATGCAAGCCACGTTTGTTTCTATCCATACCTGGATTTTCTTGACAAAACCCACAATTACTTGAAAGATATCATCCTTGGTTCTGAAGTGTTGTCTGCCCCTTTTGGGCTTGAATGAAGAACTGACATGCTTTCCTTTTGCACAGGGATTGTGCACTTCATGTTACTTGTTACTCAACTTGATTAGACCACGAACCAGGTCCTTCAGATCCAGTTTGTTTAATGATAGACGGCTTGCTATGCTCTAGTCTTTTGTCCCACAGCTCAGCATTGTCTTCAACAGCTTTCAACCAACTTATATCTCCACTCTGACGAAGCTCAATCATATCAACATAAGTACTCTTGTGTCTTTTGGCTACAGCATCACCTCACCAGTCACAAGATATGAGATTGTGCATATCCTGGACAAGAATTCCACCTTATTTCCTTTGACACAAATCTTCCAACTCTTAGAGCATACCCCCTTCTTAGCCATTTTCAAAAGGGTACACTCTCTCCTTGCAGGGCTTTTAGTAAAGGAAAATTGATTGTATTTCCAGTCATGTCATTTGAGCAGCCACTGCTCATATGTCATTATTGGTTGCTCCCCTTCACTGCTCCCTGCACACGGAAATCAAGGGTTAGATTTAGGAACCCAAATGAGTTTGGGTCCCTTGTTAGGAGAGAAAGGATGAACGAGTGTTCTCTTAGTCCAAGCAGGCAAAATGCGTTTCCTATTTGACGGACCAGGTCCTCTTGCAGTAGTTACTCTCTCAGCAAAGACTCTATTTTTCTGATGAGACTGAACCCTAGCCATGTAGTTTTCCTTTAGGTGCCCATTGTTACCACAGTGGGTACATAGCCCATTGTCAGATACAGTAACATACTTGCTACGAGGGTTGTAGGTAATCTTTTTCCTTTGAAACCCAATCCCCTGCCTGTTTCCCCCAGAGTTGGTGTACATGGCAGTGATAGCATCAGAGGACCAGGTCCACTTAAGCGATTTTTCAAGATCACTCTTCACTTTTCCTAGATTTTCCTGAAGCTGTTTGTTTTTCTCAAGTTCAGCACATAGACTAGTCTTTACCAAATTTAACTCATTTTCAAGCTTAATGTATACTTCACTTGCAACTTCCTTTACCTTTTCAGAGTTTCCAATTTACCATTTTAAATTCCTCAATTGCTTCTTTCAAGTCTACTACCACCACTACTAGGTCATCTCTTTCTTGCTCAATGATTGCAACTCTCTCAGTCAAAGTTTCCTTTTCTTTACTTTCACACTCAATGGTTTCTTTTAAGTCCACCACAACAACCATCAGATCATCTCTTTCATGTTCTATACTAGCAATTTTCTCTTCTAAGGCATTCTTTTCTTTTTTCAGGCTCTCTATTGTTTCTTTCAAATCTACTACAACGACTACTAGGTCATCTCTAGTTTGTTCAGCTTCCCCTAGTTCCATAGTTAATGCATCTTTATCATTGATAAGACTATGGTATGCATCAATTAGCATATTTACTAATGACATGAGTTTTTTAGGAGAGTAAGATTTCAGATTTCTCTGAACATCCAGAAAGTTTACCTCATCGTCGTCGTTATCTTCATCGTCATCAGATTGAGCCATTAACGCAAAGATTGAATCATACTTAGTTGTTTCATTTCCCACTGCCATCATTGAACTATCACCATGGTCGTTTTCTTCTTCAGATTCGTCGGAGGAGTCTCCCCATGCAGCAAGAGCTTGATTTACAACATTGTCAGCATCATTCTTCCTCTTGAAGCGTTTGTCAGGAACCTGGTTCCTCTTGGCTATTTTGTCAAAGTTGTTATTGCACTGATCTTGCTTTAGGAGGGGACAATCCTTGATGAAGTGTCATGGCTTGCCACATTTATGACAGAGGTCATAATTTCTTGGCTTGCTAGAACTTTTCCTTTCTGGAATGCATCCATTCCTGCGAACCATTTCTAAAATCTTTTTGTCAAGTAGGCCATGTCCCCGTCTTCACCACTTGAGTCATTGTTGTCCGTCTTGAGGACCAGGTTCTTTTCCCTCTTGGGCTCTCTTCTTTCATTGTCCTTTTTCTTCTTCATTTCATAAGTTTTTAAGTTTCCAACAAGTTCATCCATGGTCAGTGTATGCAAGTCCTTAGCCTCTGTAATGGCGTTAACTTTGCTTTCCCAAGAACTGAGCAGTACACTAAGGATTTTTCTGACAAGCTTGTTTCTTGGAATACTTTCACCAAGAGAGTGAAGCTCATTGATGATGGGGGTGAATCGAGTATGCATATCTTGGATGATCATCTTTCATTTTGAAGAGCTCATATTCTGTTGTGAGCATATCAATCTTGGATTGCTTCACCTAAGTTGTTCCCTCGTGAGCTGTCTGAAGAGCTCCCAGATCTATTTTGCTGATTGACAAGCTGATATCCTATTATATTCATCAGGGCCAATGCCACACACAAGAATTTTCTTTGTACGAAAATTCTTTCTATGGCTTTTCTATCAGCTTCACATATGACATCCCATAACTCAGAGTCTTCAGCCATGATGAAGTCATGCATCCTAGTTCTCCACCACCTGTAGTATTGACCGTTGAACCTAGGAGGTCTATATGTAGACTAGCCTTCTTCGAAGTTTGGAGGAGCAGCCATGAGGATCCTTTCTAGGTGTTAACCTGATAGAAAGAACCTGCTCTGATACCAATTGATAGAATGTAGGGGTCCACCAAACTCTATAGAGAACCGGGTTCTCTATCAGGTTCAATCAGTACGTACACACACAACAGCAAATCCATGACAAGAGGAATTTTACGTGAAAAATTCAGCTCAAAGGGATTAAAAATCACGACCTGCCCTTGTAGGATTTCAGCTTCACTATTGAGCAATTTTGAGATTACAGCCTATGCAACATAGGAATTAATACTCCATTATAAGCCACTTTGTAATAACTCTATTACAAAGACTTTACAACATGACTAACTCTAGCCAAGACTCAAACACACTTGTTTAAAGTTTACAATGGGGTTCCTATACAATGCTTCTAAATAAGCTAGATAGGAATTACAATTTGAAGAACTATTACAAAGTCACAACTCAACTAAAGACATACAATAACTCGATGTGGGAACTGGTCCGTAGTTGATTTGTTCTTTGTTCTTGAAGCACTTGAAACTTGCTAGCTGAATGGTCACGTGAGTGAGCTTGAGTAAAATCTCTAAGTGTTCAATTTTTTGTTTTACCTCCCTTGAATGCATATATACTTGTGTGACATAACTTACAATGATGTAAGCAAGGTAGGTAAAAAGCCTTCCCTGGAAAGTTGACTGCATCACTGTTCCTGCACTGTAGCGTGTGTAGGCAGCAACTTTCCAGCTGGAAAGTTGACTTCGTACAGTTTCCTCGGGAACTGGTAGGGACATGTTCCCTCAGCTGTTCCTTCCACTCTGAAGAGTTGAATCATATTCCACGCTGAATCCTAACCTGGAACCTTGTGATCTTGAGGTCTTGTAAATGTGTAACAAGTTCCTTATCTAGTTTTAGATAGTAAGTTTTTTAGATCATCAAAAGATAAAGTAAAGTACTTATAACCAAAGTACTTGTAACCTATTAGTTGTCACGTAGTCAAGCTCGGCCAACAGAAGGCCATGATATCCGTAATCGACTGAATATCACGGCGGAGATCTCGGCATATGTCGACCTGAGATCAATAATCAGTTAATTAGGATATTTTTACCTTTAATAGAGTTGTACCTAATATAGGACTCCCCTACTATATAAAGGGGGTTTGATTATTTGTAAAACACATTATAACACACATTCAGAAGCAATATACTGTTATTTTCTCTTTAAGCTCTTATTCAAGTGTCTTTAAATCGATCGAAGTACATCCTGTTCAAGGGTGGCTAACCCCCCAAGGCTGTAACTGACCATTCTTGTGGTTTGACTTTACTTTATCATTGTTTATTTCAATTGTAATTTAATTTATCGCTTTGTGTCAATTTAATCCACGTATTCTTAAAACCACTTATAAATTCAATTGTTATCCGGTTTTGAGGGTAAACATATTTAATCATGAAAAGAGCATAAGAATGTGAGCTTTCGTCATGCAGTTTCACAATAATGGAAAGTGAGTGATAAACTAATACTTTATCAAATTTTATTCACAATAGTACTAAAGAGAAACATTTAATAGAGGCAAATGATTAAAATTATTGAGAGGGGCAGAAAGATTGATCGCTTTGGATAAAACAAGAATATTTCGAGTCTTTAGATTTCCATATTATGACCAACTAAAAGAGGGAAATAAAAGTGTACTACCTACGACTTAAGTAACAAAAGGATTTGTTCATTTAGGAGTAAGATAAAAGTTATGCCTCATAAGGATTTGTTCATTTCATAGGAAAAAAATATTCTTTTTAACTTTTCCAAATAACTAGCTAAATCACTTTGACTGCAACCTACATTATCCACTGTATACGGTAAAAATCGAAGGGCTCGATTTTGTTATCACTAGGGCGCCTCAAGAAAGACCATCCCCGGGAGGCTCGAAGTCTAGCTCGGAGTTCGCCCCCGAGGGTTCATGATGATCGACCTCGAGGCAATGCGAACCAACGGCTATGACGCG